GAGACTTTGCCATACGGTATAACGACGTTTTTCAAAACACCAGCGATTACCGATTATTACCGTTACTACAAGAGTTAAGTAGGAAACAGTTACGTATTACGGCCTATACACAATACACAATTAGTTAGAAAACTTTCATAAGGCTGCACGAACTAGCACTATAAAGTATTAGACACTTGCAGCCAACAATTTGCTTGTTCGTATTTGCTGGCACATCGTATATATGCTAGTATTTTAAGGAATTTTAAAATAGATCTATTTTTTGTCACAGCCGCAACTGACGACGCTATTCGCGCGTCCAAAGCCAACCGAATGTCTGCATCGTTGCGAATTTCAGCCAGGACTGAGAGCTTTTCATGCTTTCGCCGAACATGCAAGCGAATGGACAAAGAGACGAACACTTGCCGACGACACGGCTAGCTATGTCTTTGTCACCCGAAAGCCCGTAATTGTCTTCATATTTAAATTTAGCCAAAAGAGCAGCATATTGTAAGTTATTTTGCTGATCCGTTCAGCGACATCGAGCGGCCAAAGCCAAATATACAAAAAGAAAATTATATGTATCTGCGATTTATATATAAATAAAATGATGTTAATAATTGTGTTTAGCATTTGCTAAAATATTTGCTGTTTTGGCTCGACTACGACTGCCAGAATGACGGACGTCGGACGAGCACTTCACGCAGCGAAAGAGACGCACTTGCCAGCCGCCTGAATGGATGGATCGCTTGTCTCTGTAAACAACTTTTGAAAAGCAACAATTTGCTTTTGTGATGTAATAACTAACTGCCTATGTATGAAAAAATATATATCTTCGCTATGATAAAGTGTAAATCCATGCCGGAAAGGATAAATATTTACATATATATATATATTAGAGATACGAAGTTGGTTCGAATAAATTAAGTAGGCGGCGCAAAGAAGCCGAGCTTGTGCGTGCAATGGGTAAAGAGACGCTTCTAAACATCTGGTTACAGTTGTTCAACAATATCTACGGTGACCATCCGTCCTGTGTTATACGGGACAGTCTCCTTTTTTCGTCAATTGTCCTGGCAATTTATTTATTTCATACCGGACGCCAAGTGTTTCTTCAGTGTCCCGTATTCGGTATTTTGGCGCCTGCTGTTAGCTCATAAAAATGACATGCCTATGGACCAGATTTTATTTTTTAAAGCTGGATGCTTGTGATTCGAATCGAGGATCACATGTGTAGGTGGTTTCTGCAGTTATAATTTTGCGTAGAAAAACTGGGTATTTGTGAGTAGGAGTCGAAATTAGACGTTAATGATTATGGTTCAAATTTCTAAGGGCCGAATTCACAGTGCTTAGTTAAACCCTTGTGAACTTAACCACCAACAAAGGCTTAACTATGAATTTATATTCAGTGTGCCGTGGTGTGGAGACAATTTTAAAATTTTGTAAAAAGAGAAGATATTCATTAGACGAAACTACACCAAACAAATTTTTCCTGATTGTATGAGGGATTGTATGTTCAATATGAGAAACTCCAAATAAGAAGGCTACCATGAGAATAATGTACTAAAAGTAAATAAGTTTTCAAAGTTGGAAGGGAAGTTCGAATAATTGAAGCTACGATTTGTAATTCTGCTCATTCCGGATGCTATTAACTGCATCGCGCTTGGCCGAAATCAAATTCTGAAAATAATCCGTTGAATACCACTCGTAGTTCAAAAGTTGTCGGATATTTTCACCATGATTTCGTGGCTAGGAATGTTGGTAACAAATTTTGCGGGGTAAACAGTATAAAGTTATGAGAAAATATTCTACAAATGTGAGATGTTCCAACTGAATATTTATGCGCTACTTTCACAAAAGATCGAAAAACATAAGCCAAATAAAAATGCTGTTTCTGGGGTAATAAATATAGGATCATTGAAAGAGGCTTTAAAATCTTCTAGCATTTGTGGAAAAAATTGGTAAAATTATTTTTTGTCCCGTATTAGGGACTGCTATAAATATAGTCAATGTAACTATAGCAGCCCATGTACGGGATGTAGCAATTAAGCTCTGTGGAGCTTTGGGCCATGGCAAATTTTGAAGTCGTTGATGAAACCGCCCTGCTTTGATGACGATCCGGTCTTACTAGGCTTTGGGAGCATGCTCTTGTGATGTCTGATATCTTAGTGTCTTAGTTGGCTATGCTTGGACTTTTGATGCTCTCGTGAGAGTAAATGCTCCTACTAGGAGATGCTGATCATACGGCGATCTCCTATAAAAATAGAACGGTGACCTGGTAAAGATGTCCAGAGTACCCTCAGATCTGGAGGTAATGCTGATTTCTACTGAATGGCAGAAATAGTCTCTTTTGCCACAGCGAGTACCGGATACGAAGAAACGAGGATACATATTTAGTTCAGTGAATAAAAATACATCGGCTCCTCTGGATAGGCCCTAGTATGAATGGAAGGAAAGGCTCAAGCAATGAAAGTGTTCGATGCGGTACCCGTTCGTAGCAGAAGACGACAAGGACTTGGCTTTACTCGCCGACTGGCGGTGCTATATTGAACTAGGGAAAATCGCTCAAACGGCTATAGCGCCAATCAATAAAAAGATAAATCGACTTTCATTGAAGAAGTCTGAATCCTCGTTGGATATTAAGAGGGTGATTTTTGTAACCGTGGGGGTCTTGCGGTAGCTTCTATCCTAGACAATGGTGTCGCAAAGGCATACCATTGTCTTCTAGCCCAATTAAGGCATTAAATTTTAGACAACTTTCTGAAACATCTAACGGCTCTGAATACCCAGTTGAGAGTTACATACTTATACGTACGTCAATGTTAATCAATATGCTTTCCGAAAATATTTAGCAATCTAGAATGCCATTTGAAAATACCTGTATTTAATTCTTACTGAGTTGGGCACAATTGAAATAATTCATTGATACACTCGAACGCTAACGAACATCTGTACAAATAATTTAAAGCTTTCATGGGTAATTCCGTGTCAAATCGACCAATATTTGGACTCGACCGCTTTCGATTTGGATGAAATTTGATCAGAAGTTTTTTTCACCCTATAATGAAGTTCCACCAACAGAAAAAAATTAAAAAAAAAAAATGTTTGCAATATTAAAAATTTCACTGTTTTTCCAGTTTTTCAAAAGCTTCAAAAAAACATCTTGGAATCGTCTTAGAGAGGATACTTTGGCCTACAAAAATATATGTATTAAAAAATATATTTAAAAAAATATGAAAAAATTGCAAAATTGCAAAATTTTTAAAATTGAATAAATCAGAAACTAATATTTTTTTAGCTAATTTTTTTTGCATGGTACCTCTGCATGTTCTTAAATGATATGAATTTTTAAGTTTTGGTAAAAACAAAAAATATTTTTTTTTTTCGCAAGCTATTAATAAAATATTACACTTTGCAACAATTTTAGGGTCGTGGAATCTAACGGGGTTGAGACCAACACAGATGTGTAATGCTGGATTAGTGTAACAGAACCCTAAGGGCTATTTGCTCAAAGCCTGGTTGACACTTATCTCCGATTAACATCGTGATCGACCTCTTTGACTCCATGCATATAACAGCGTGTCGGTAACGTCGATAACGATTTTTAGCCGGCGATTAGTGTAAACCAGGCTTTTAGAAAACCAGGTAAAAATTAAGATTTTGAGTATTAATATTTGATTCCCATTCAATTTTAAAATCATTTTAATTTTTCCAGATTAAAACGAAGGGATGAGGCATCAACTTCAGAAAACGGAGGGAAAAACGACCTAGCTAACATAATATATGTATTTTGAGAATAATATTTTTTGATTAATTCAATTTTGAAAATTTAGCAATTTTGCAATTTTTTAATTTATTTTTTAATAAATATATATTTGTAGCCCCAAGTAACCTCTTCAAAACAAGTCCAAGGTGTTTTTTGCAGCTATAATAGTTGTTGGGATATTAAAAAAAATTAACTTGAAAAACTGGAAAAATAGTGAAATTTCGAATTCAGCATAACATTTGCTACTTTTTTTTTTAATTTTTTCCTGTTAGGGAAACGTCATGATAGGTTGAAAGAAAACTTCTGACCAAATTTCATCCAAATCGAAAGAGGTCGAGTCCAACCATTGGTCGATTTGAAACGGAATTACCCTCATAGAAAAAGTAAAATTACGACTCACCTCTGGTATTTTCGTGTTTGAGTAGATACATATGTAAATATGAACATACTACATATGTGTGTAACAGTAGATGCGCGATGCTATTTTTTGTGTGGTGATTTTCGTATGTGTGTGCATGTCGATTTATATTTACATATATGAATTAGTGGGTGTTGGTTAAGATTATTTGATCAGACATTGCATTTGTGCATTTTTCTTGTTTGCCTGCCTGCAGTTGCGTGAAGTTAGTAACAGTTTCATGAAATGTATTAGCAAATTATTGTGTCTGAAAGCAATGCACATACATATGTAAGTGTGTAAATATTTATGAACTCATAGATTCGATATAGAAAGCTGAAAATTTTACATGCAGTCCATTGAATTCCGCACAGTGGACTCACCTCATCTTCGTCCATTTCTTTCGCTGAGCGGCCTCTTGCGTGGCCTCTTGCACTTCCGTTGGCAATTCGATGTCCTCTCGATGGGGCTCCGCTTCGTCCTCAACATGCGAGAATGTTACCTTCTTGTCGGACGGAGCTGGTGATGGCTCCTTCTTAATAGCTGACTTTAGATCTAATGGCTCGTGATCTTCGACAATGCGAAGATTAATATCCCCACTAGCCGCATCACTTTCTTCCGTTACTGGGGATAGTTGAGTGCGATTCCGATCCTCGTCCGATGAGGCAGAGTCGATGGATGAGAGCGGCGCGAGCAAACTCATGGCTGGCTTATCAATGGCTGACGTTCCAGCAGCGGCGGCGCCAGCAATTTGCTCCTCCTCACTGCTGCCCATTCGATCAAGTGGCAGAGACTTTGCTCCTTCTTCAATATGCCTTAATGTTGAGCTGTCTTGCTTGGCCAATGATTGTTTAAGTGCCTCAACAGCCCCTAGCGGCAGTATATTAGCGTCTCCAGCCGCAGGCTGAGCCAAAGCTTCCGCCTGCACCTCCGACTCTATTTCTTCATAGACGTGTTCTCGTCGCAGACGTGGGGCTTTCCTTGGCGCTGGGGCAGAAGTCGCCACAACCTCAGTCGGCGGAGTAGATATGCTCTCACTTACGTCTGCTGTTACATCTGGCTCGTTTGCGGTGGATGCAGTGCTGATAGTTGGCGTCGCTCTGCCATCTTTTAACGAATCGGGAATTTCGATTATCTCATCGGGCACAACAATGCCAGCTGCCTCCGACTCATTTGTATCCATTGGTTGATCCGCATGATGAGAGGAATTTTCTTCTTCTTGTCTGCCATCATCCCTGCGCTTTCGACTTGGTGACTCGTCTAGCTCCATTATTTCCAGTACATCGTCCGAATCTTGTTTCTCTATGAAGTGAGGTATTTCGCCACGTTCTGCTTTTGGAGACTTCTTTAATTTGAGAATTTTCGTTTCTTCCCCTAGCACAATCTTCTCGTCCTTGCCCAAATGAATACGCCGTATATTGAGCCGTTTCTTTTGGCGGTCCGCCATGCTTTTCAACTTCTTCATTATGGGGTAGCAATGCTTCTGTTCTGTATTCTTACCGTTAACAAGTATCTGGGGATTAGGTTGCGGTATATTTTCCTGGCTATGGTGTCGACTACTGCTGGTCGACGCGCAAGGCAGTGATTGTGCGTCTTCGTTCGAGCGTCCACCCTTACGACGTCGGAGATAACCGCGAATTTTATCCAACCGAGTGGGCTTTCTGGGCCTGCCAGTTGCGAGTATAGAGTCAGAGACACAAGAAATGCTTTCGCTGCGTAAGCTGTGTGTTTCTTCGTCTTCGGGCGCCGATTGCAGATAGTCTTCTTCGCCTTCGGATAGTTCTTGTATATACCGCTCGGGTTGCTTCACAACAACTTGCTCGTCAATGCGAACCTTCTTCAATGACTTAGGAGACTCTGAAACAAATCGAAATTCTTGGGACTTTCGCAAGAGTAGCACAATTTCCGGCTCCTCGTCTGGTCCAAGCGGACGTTTGTACAGGTGTGTCCAAGGATAACCGCCCTAACCAAAGCAAAAGATTAAAATAAGTAACTAAATATATCTGTGCACATATGTATTTTATATCTCCACTGGCTTACCCGATCTTTTGCGCGCCGTAGATCCTCCCACCGATATGTCTGCAGTGGTACTGGTGGTCGGTCAGTGTGGCTCTGTATAAGGTACTTCTTCAATGACTGATAGTATTCGCGCTTGCAATCGTCGGCAAGTTTCTGCGCCTCTGCGTTGCTATCGATGTGCGGCAAAGACTCCAAAAACAGCTTACGGTCCTGTACGTCCGACGGTGTTTTCGGTGAAGGCACGTTCACAATTTTAAGCTCGTTTGGTTTTGTTTGATCGACGTCAACTTTTAAGGCTTCACCGTTGCTGTCGCTCCTCAATTGTGTGGCGGCGTGGCTTGGTTTCGATGACTTGAGTATGCTCGTTACTTCCGACAACTGTGCATCGACCTTTTGTGACAGTGAGTTGCTTATTTCGTCTAGTAATGAAGTGGTTTGTTCAGTCTTTTCTTCTTTTTCTTTTCGGTAAAGTATTTCCGCCGTGGAGGCCTCAGTTTTTACCTCCGTCGGTTTGTTAGCTCCAGCGTTAGCTTTAAGTTCGTTTTTTGCTTCGCACTTTTGAAGTGCCTCCAACACTTCACGTTCTATTTCATTCACTAGCCTCTCGGCGGCCTCTTTAATCGCGTCGCTAGCCACAGACGGTTCTATACGTTCCGCCGCCTCCGGTTCTGGCACGGTCGCCGTTTCGATCAGAGTTTTCGTTTCGCTTTTTGATTCGGCTTCAGCAATTCGCTGCGCTTGTCTCGTCTGCACCACAGACTCAATAGGTTTTTTCGATATTGCGCCCGCCGGTTCCACTTCGATTACCGTCCGCAAATTCACTTCCGTCTCAATTTTCGACGAACCTCGTATCAATTCATCTTGCTGAGGCGGCAATTCGTTTATCCCAACACTGTCGTCAGGTGTTTGATACTCGTCGTATGTCTCTATTAAATGAGATTCAATATCAAGTACATGACCCTGATCGGCACTGCCGCTATTACTGCTGCATTGTCTCGCAACGGTTGGCGGTGGTGAAATAGTTTCTTTCGTCGCTTCTGTGTCGCCCCTTTCGGTCGAATTAGGTATTTGGCTCGTTGCACTTTCGTTGCTACAACTAGTTTCGTTGTTAGTTAGACTATGTTTGCTGCTGACTAGATCATCATCGTTGGCCCCCGCTGTGTCCGAGGTATCCACTTCCGTTGACGACTTCTCTACATACACCGGCGCATTGACTGAAGCACTTGGAGCGGCTGTAACCGTTATTGCAGGGCTCGATACTGCTGCAGATTGCGATGTGGTCTCTGCTGACGATCCGTCTTCTGTTGCTTGCGGCTGTGTGTGTTTGTTGTTGATCACTTCAAGTATAGTTTGCTGCTGCTCAGTTGGACTAGTTCCAGCACCGGGTAATGACACTATAAGTAAGAGAAAATGCAAAATCAACAGACTGTGCTGCAGTGGTCGGTTCTCTAATTTTAGTTGAATGGAATTTCAAATACATTGGACTACAACAATTTGTTTTATGCGTGAAACGAGAAACAAGTGATCGGCACACAGAACTCATGAAACGTCAGCAAAACTATTGCACGAACAGATATAGACAGAGACAGAAATGTATACAATAGGGCGCGCGTTACATAAGAATGAATGACGAGATTATGGAAGAATTCCCACAGCTAAATAAGCAAGGCGGGGAAAAGACGAGTAAGTAGCCCAAGGACGTCTAAAAACTGTAGCGGCAAGTGCTTGTAAATATTTATATTCGGACTTATGCTTGACGGCTAATGATCCTTCTGGCACTTCAACGCACCTGTTTACATACATATGTACACACTAAACAACTACGAATTTATGTACCACACTTTGTACAGACCAAACAGTCGCTGAAATGTAATTACGAAATACCCGAAAAACAATTTTAAACGAACTAATTGTTCGGAGCAAACCGCGAACTACATACATACATACATATGTACATATGTATGCAAAGTCAAAAATTTCTAAATTTCCCCAATCTCATCACAGTTTTTCTTTCGTAAAATTTTAGTGTACATACATATCTACTTCACTGTGTAAGTGTGCTAGCCATATTTTTAGCGTAAATGCTCGAAAAAAAAAAAATACCTTTTCACTCGTATTCTAAGAATCTAGGTTTTAAATTCGTTTCGTTTTATGTTTTGTGAAATTGTGAAAGTCCTAAAAAATATATCAATAAATAATTTGACTTTCGAAAAGTAACCGCGCAATGCTCTTTCACCGCAGATATTCGCCCCGATCGCGCTTGTGACCTTAAGCACACTGATGGGGGCAGTTAGTTGAAATTCGCAGGAGATCGCTCGTGGGCTGATCGAGCAATTGCAGCTTTTGCTGCTGGCTGCTGGCTGCTGGCTGCTAGCTGCTGTCCGCCAGTGGCACTTTTCAACATTAGGCGAGCGAATTGAGTTAGTTGTTTTTTTTTTTTCAATTTCACTAATGTGTTTTCTGGTTGGTTTTTCTCTATTCACTTGGGTTTTCTGAGTTTTCGAGTGTTTATTTCGAATTTTCTCTTAACTTTAGCTCACAACTATGTATGTATGTATGTAGTTCATATTTTCAATTTCTGTTGGTCGAATTTGTTTTAGTGTTAAAGAACTTGGGTTGTTAATTGTTTTATATTTGCGTCTGCGTTTGCATGCGTCACTGTATGTATGTGTTTTTGTGTGTCTGTTCTATGGATGTGAATGAGTATCTTCTCCACTGAATATATTTAATGTGGTGCGCTTTGTAGAGCATACCAGGCATGCCTACTTACTACATACATTTGCCTGTTTGCTCTCCCAATTGGCATTTTCATGTGCAACTCGTATGCGAACTTTTCAGATTTACACTCTTGTATGTATGTATGTATGTATGTATATGCATATGTAAACAGAAAGAAGTTAATTTGGACATGGTCTGTTTGTGCTCAATATTGGTCAAGTAAATATGTGCCTATAGTAAGTATGTACATACTTTGTTTTACGATCATAAGCGGAATATTTAATTGTGATCAGCTAAAGCAAGCGTGATATGAAACTAAACACTTAGTTTATTCGCGTGGAAGATAAGGGGGGGCCAAGTGAATTATCTCAAATTTAATCCTGCAATAGAATATCCACAACGGATTTGAGTTTGCAGAACCCATAAGGAGAAATGTATGGCTTCGTATTACCCTATACTAGAGATGGGCGCGAGATATCGGGACCCTCGGGACGCATGGTACTGATTTAAAATTGGCCGGGATGGGCGGTATCGGGAAGGTCTGTGAAATTTTGCGGGCGGGACACTCCCGATAAAATCGCAACCTCAGCAAATTCGGAAGATCTTCCTTGAAAACGATGTGTGAATTATGCACTTTTTATGTTTTATTGGGACGAAAACGAACAGCAAAGCAAAAAAAAATAATCGGAAAAAGCCAGATCTTTTTCAGAAATTATCAGGCCTATCGAAAAGTGATGTATATACGGCTTTTGGAGAATTTCATTGGCTTTCATTTACCCTATTTCGTATTACGATTGTTCAATTGGTTCGTAAGATATGCGTGACTATGTAGACCCGCTTTTCTTTAAGCTGAATAACGGTTAATGCAAATATTTCGAAAACGTGTCCATAGAAAAAAAATTAAATCGATTTTCGGAATCACCAAGAAATTCCATAGAACATTTTCGCTATAAACCAGCCTAGATTTTTTTTTTGCGATTTAAATCTATTTAAAATAAACAAAACATCGCTTGGCGCCAAATAATAGGAGTTTTAGTTTGAAACAAACACGTTATGGCTTTTTTCACAGTGTACCAACACACAATAGTGCCGATTTATCCCGCCTTTTGCCTCTTTAATTCATATGTACTATAATGAAAGCTTCGTTTATAAAGAAAATTGTAAGAGCCCCACCTGTGACCGAATTTGTTAAAAAAACGGAAAAACCACTCAATATTTTTCTAAAAAAAAAATATGAAAATGCTTTTTACAAGCTTTTCTTTAACTTTCTCTGTATGTATGTATGTTTATCAGGGGCAAATCTTGCAATACATTTTTAACCAACTTCTCGATGACCTAGAGACTTGAAACTTCACAGTTGGCTTAGAACCCGATGTCAATACATTAATTACATGAAAAGGAATAACTCCATAAAAAAAAAAAATTGCCGATAGATGGTGCAGGAGTCGCCTTAAAATTTGAATGTGGTTTTTGACTTTTTCTGACTTGTAACTAGGGTGTTCGATTGTTCGCCTTTTTTCCAAAACCGATTTTTGATTTATTCGAAAAATTGAAATTAAAAAAAAACCGGTTCCCGATTTTGAAATTAAAAAAAAAAAAAACAACACGGATAAACCGGTTTTATATTATACAGTAAAAATGGTAGAGAAGTTATAGCTGCTACTTCTGAGATCACCACATCGCCTCACATCAGACTTCTGCAATTTGAACGCGCAAATTCGGCTGTCAACCCACGGTGGTCTTACCCACGGAACTAAGTTCGCCATGTAAATTGTTGTTGCTTTTTCCACTTTTTCATTTGGTCAACCCAACTACAATCAAGGGCAACGACTTTTGTTGCTATTTAGACTTAGATCACGTGGTTGTTGTTGGTTTATGTTAAGATTCAATTTTTAAAAAATACTTAACCTTAAGGTGTGCTCGTCCTTTTTAAGTTAAGTAAAAATTTGTCTGCTCTTTCATGGACTTAATTTGCATGGTTTAATTTTCAATAAAATGGGGTTAATTTGCGAAAAAATTAATAACATCGATTTCAAAAAAAAAAAAACTTTATATACTTTAAATTTTTCTTCANAATTTTTCTTCAAAAGAAAGTAAAACTAAAGCATTTTGAAATCCTCGGTGCTTAACCGGTTACCGGTACGTATATTTACTTATCGCGGGTCTATCGTGTATACATATACATATATATTCATAGGTACAAAGTTTCATTTAATATTGTTGGATGTCAGTTTGGGATATTCTTTTCAGTTTGCAAAATAAGCGCTTTTTTATATACATATATATTTCATTTAAGGCGTGCTTTATTTTTAGATATTTAGCTCACACATTAGCGAGTTCGCATCTTTTT